CTAATCGTGGGCGGAGAATTTTTTGCGATGCGCACAGCGCAGGCGCTTAAACATTTTTAGATTAAAAAAGGGGAAGATCAATTTTCGATAAAATTTATAATCTTTCTTCTTTTTTTTTTTAGTTTTATGAAGTTTATAGATTTTATATGGATATTATAAATAAAATTGATAATTAATCTCTATGTAAAATTATGATAAATCGTTTTTTAGTGAAAGTTTAATAAGATTTATTACTTAAAATTTTTTATTTTAATTTTCTACTCTCCTTCCTTTTTTTTTCGTATACTTGCTCTATAGATAACGTGAAATATATTTTATCTGTCAAGGTTGTATAAAAAATGATTATTAAAACAAATCAGCGATTTACAAACCCAGAACTCGATTTGAACCATATGTTCGACAATTATTTTAGAAATCCGGGCTGAGTTATTAAAATTAAAAATCAGGCTTGGCTTAATTTTAAGCATAAGCCAGTTGGGAAATCACGTAATGGATCACTTAACACTCCTGAATTTCCCTTTGAATTAATTTACAAAAATAGAACCAAAATTTGTTAATAATTCGGGTCGGGCCATCGCAATTTTAAAAATCACTGGCTAAAAATAAAAGGGGAAGGGTTTAAAAATGTGAAATATTATTAAAAACGGGCAGAGTCGGGCCTAGACATCTTCTTCGTCTCTGATATACGAATGGGGCCGAGATTAAAAAGTAAATTTTAATTAATATCCAATCAACCAGTTGGAAAATCGGATGATTTATTAATAATCATTTATTTCTCTTTGAAACTAATTACGAAATTCGACCAAATTAGAATATCACTAAATTTTAAAAAGGGGTATGGGTGGGGCGGTAGACTGGGAAATTAAAAAAAAATTAAACTCGGGTCGGGTCTAATAGTCGATACCAAATTTAGACTACTCCATAAAAAGTGAAGATAGTGAAAAACAAAAACTCTGACTCACTGAATTATTACAACTAGGGTTGTGCCGATTCCACAAATTTTCACCGATTCGATATTTTCCGATATTGCTATAAAACCGATTCAATATCTATATTGATACAATCATAAAATAACCAAAAACAAAAAAATTATCAGGTAGAAAATCCGCCCGATCCGATATTTTTTTAAAAAAGCTAAATATCGTCTCTAACTATAAGCGGCAAATTGCCTTATGGAGGTCAAACTTTAGCCAAATATTTTAGGCATTAGCTTTTATTCAAAAATTATTCTATTCCAAATGTATAGCAAATACAATTCTTTCTTTAAGGCAAAGGTCCCAAATGTTGAAAAATTGTTATCATATAAAAAATATTGGATGCTCCACTATATCCTGATTATCACTCATACTCATAGGCTAAATTTGAGATGTAGTAGAAGGTCTCCTAAAATAGAGGTCTTCATAGAATTATTTGTGATATAATTATATATTCTCAAAAGACTCCATAAATGACGAAATTTTTTTATGCTAAAAGTGGGGGGGGGGGTGGACCTGTACCTGAATGCTTATTGTTTTTTCCTAACGCGTCTTATCAATCGAACAGATTTCGCAATAATTGCGTAGGTTGCTAGCATATTTTTACTTTTTTAATAAAAACACTCAAAGTTGCCCTCAACAAAATAACCTTATTTTTTTCTCAAGTCAAGTTGATACAAATTATATATTTTATTTATTTTAATCCTGCTGAGAATTTATAATAATAAAAAAAACGCAAAACCCTATAAGGTGATCACTCAAGGGTGTTTATGTTTTGGTCAACATAAGGCCTGATCAATATGCGTAACATTTCGTTAAATATTTTAAATAGGATCTTGGGGGCCCACTTAAAAAAAGGATGAAAATAGCTAGGTAACCATTTTTGAATCTCACAATAACAATAAGTATGATATGCTGTATTGAATAATATACACATTTATAATTTCGACAGGTGAAAATTATATAATTAATTGCTTCATTTTTTGTTGTTTAAAGATGCAAAAATTTGACGTGGTTTTTTTTTTTACTAAATATAAAAATAAATAAAGTAACTCAACTCATAAAAACAATGGCATAAAAATATAACACGATAAAATTAAGGTTTGATGTGAATTCAAAGATATAAGTATCGAGTTACTCAATTTAAAAAACGCTCAATCTTTTCTTCCCCGCATGCAGTTCATTATAACACATAAAATGGAATGCTCTAATATAATGCATATCATATGATATTGGTAAATTAACAACAAATCTTTTTGAAGAGTTTATTTTATATTATACTTTTTTATTCTAGTTTTTTTTTGTTTTATATAAAAATAAAATCATTTAAAATATAAAATATTTTAATTATATCGAATTCGTATGAAGTCGTTAATGTGCATAGATTGATCTCTCAAGGTTTTTTTTGAAAATGATCAAACAAATTTTTGGATTTAAATCATACCATAAAATTCAAAATCTTTTTTGTAAAAAATATTTTTATAATTTTTTATGCATAAATATCTTTCATAATGAAATTACTAAATTTTTTTTATAAAAATGATTTTGATCTTTTTACAATTATTTTTTCCCAATTTTGTGAGCTTCATATTCAAAAGTTTTTGAAGAAATTTTTATCAAACTATTTATGACTATATTTAGTGATCTGCATCGAGCCTGATTTTTCAAGCCCGGCCCGAATTTTTTTTAAAAATTTACCGACCCAACCCGGCCCGAATTTATTTAAATATAGAAATTAATTTTTTTAATTACTCAAAATTAAAGACATATGTTATATGTCGTTTAATTTCTATAAATAAAATCAAATATTTTACATAAAAAAATTCAATATAAAATTGATAAATTTAGATATATTTAAAAAAATTTCTAAGGTCCGGCCCGACCCGGCCCGAATTTTTTTTAAAAATATTTGGCCCGGCCCGACCCGAACCGAACCCAATTTTTTTTTAAAATATTAGGCCCGGCCCGACCCGAACCCAATTATTTTAAATAGAATTAGGCCCGAACCCGGCCCGAAGCCTGTTCGGGGCCGGGTACGGGCCGGGCCTAACTTTGCAGATCTCTAACTATAATAAGATTCGTTGGAGGCGAACTGAAAATACTATAAACCTCTAGAGATGGATAAAATATTGATTTCGGGTTGTTAGTAACCGTTGTAGTTATTGATAACAATACGAATCTACAAATTTAATAAAATTTTTCAAATTTTTTTTCATGACGAAATATAACTAGTTACAAATTGCATCCATAAAAATAGCTAGTTACATTGAAAGTCACTGTTAGCTTCTTATTTTCAAACCATCAAAACTTTTGAGATTCACAATACCTCAACAGTTAATTTGTACATTTTTTTATATAACTCAGTATTTTTAATATAATAACTCAGCATTTGAAATTTATTTGTAAATATTCCTTGGAAATCTCGTGTTTTACAAATACTTTTCCTTCACTTATTTAGAAATATTTATATGATTATTATTTTTTATTATATAGTTTTTTTATTTATATTTTGAAATATTATGTATTAGAAAATAAAATTTCATTATATTATATAAAATAATTATGCATTACAAATTTTATTTAGCCATCCATACCCTATTTTGAAAATGTTTAAAACTTTAAGTAACCCTAATGATAAAGTTTTAAAAGTTTCACAAATATTTTTTAACCTTATTTTTTTTTCTTAAAAATAGGCATATTTTACGTGTTTTGATTAAGTTTTAGAATTAAATTTGTGGAAGTTTTGGACACAGCCTGAAAAGAATTTAAATAAAAGAAAATTTAGATAAAGAAATGATTGCATTGAAAACTATTTATTTGCACTGAAAACATATATAAATAACAAGAGTATTTTATTAAAATATAATTTCAAAAATTGGTGTCTAAAAGGTAGAGGAGACTGGGGTTAGGTAAACCCCGGGGCTTGGCAACCCACTTAATCTCATTTTAAAATTAAATACACCAGAAGGTTCAAATTTTATCCTAATATAGTTTTTATTACTATACATCTATGGACAAAATATATTTTAAGATAATTAATTGTTAAAATTTTTATTTTTAATGAAATTTTCAAAAGATTTTTACATGACAGAATTTTAATTTTTATTAAAATATATAATCATTTATATGTAAATTAAATTTTATTACAAAGTTTAAACATTCTTCTATAATTTGGGTAAGTTTTATGAGTATTTATCAAATCTAGATATTATCTCAATCATGATTTGTCAATTTAGAGCTAGCGGGGTTTGCTAAACCATACATGTCAATTATGGCATTTAATAATGAAAAAAATTTCAAAATCTTGAAAAGGCAATAAATGGCTGTTTATGATTAGTATTTAGGATTTATGCTAAGAAATCTTAATCTCTCCTTAAAATTCATATTTTTTTATGTCCAAAAATGTTTATTAGATTAGCCAAAGTTTCAAAGTATTATGATATTTTGAACAATAAAACAATAAAATTATTCTATACATATCATTATTAATAAATAAAAATGCATTTCAATTTATTATGGCCTAAAAAAACCAATGGTTTAGGAAGCCCCTTGAAGTGGTTTGCCTCACCACGCTATTGGGGCTTGTTGAACAAAATTTTCACTTTTAAAATTAAAAAAAAATAATTATATTCTTAAGATTTTTTATAAGGAATCTTTATAAAGTATAGTTTTAGGTATCCAATCATATATTATTTTTTATATTATCTATAAAACAACAAGAGCTATAGCCAATTTTGTAAAAATTGGTTCGACTAACCCCAGTCTCCTCTACGTTATAAGTTTTTCTCCAAAAATTAGCTTCTCTAGACTACTTTCTACAGGAGCGCTTGATGTGAGACATTATATTTAATAAACATTAATTTGAAATATGCGAAATCATATAAAGATAGTGAATAATGATATATAAATATTTAACATACTTTAAAAACTAAAAGTAACTTACCTTTTCTAATTTCATTCCAAAAATATTTAACTAGTTTCATTTATTTTTTGTCAAATAATATAATTTAACATCACTACTTATAGCAAAGTTTAGAATTAGAATATGGAAACTCGGAACCGGGATAAATCTACGACTCATACCCTCATTTTGCAACTTTAGGAACCGGAAATTGGACTTATAAATTTTTATTAGACCCCCAACCAGAATTGCAGCCCTTTTTTTATTCCACTTTCCAAACTGGTTATATTTTATTTAAATAATATTTTTGATAAATAAAATTTTTATGAAGAGCCCTGATATTCTTATTGTGATTTGTATAGATGGACTTAATAAGGATTGAAAGAAAAAATATTTAAGTCGACAAAATTATTATATAAAATTTTATAATTCAAATTTAAAGATGAAAATGTTTTTGCTTGCTTCCTCTGAATTCGTGAAAAAAGATAACAAGATAATAAGAGGAGATTATTTTTTAAACCTAGATATGCGACAAGATTTATTTATAATTATATACTCGAAGTAGCTTATAGCGATAAGGATTTGTGAAATAACTTTTCTAAACACTATTATAGTATTTTTCTACAGGGCACTTCACCACGACATTTTTACCCATTTACCCAGTAAATAATAAATGTAAATAATAAATGATTTCTTATTTCCAATTTTTAAAAAAATTTATATACACAATTATGTTATAATTTTAAAAAGGAGTGCAACTGTATTTTTTTTTGCATAACTAGAAAAATATGTTATTAAGGAGATTCGGGCACTGTAGGACCTATTCTATTCTATATTCGACTTTAATGGTTAAATAAGCATTTAAACATTAAAAGTTGACCCCAATTTTATAAATTAGCAAACATTTTTCGATTTTCTAAACCAGTCGAATTATAATAATTTAATTTTTTTTATTGCCAATTAAATTTTACTAGTATCAATTTTCTATTTGCCAATCACCGATACAACTGATCCGATATTAATAATAATGGAAACCGGTATTTATACGGCTCGATTTTAAAAAATTGCAGATTCCCGAACTCTTTTAATAAAAGTATAATCTGAACTGGACTAAAATTCGTACACAAAAAATACCACAGTTTTCAGAAAAAATCTGTTCTTATCGATCCTGTGTAATAATAAACTAATGACCTTCATCAATAAAACTTCTTCATGCTGAATATCTCCCTAATTTGACATATGGGTGATCATCCCGTGCCATACTTAAAAAATGTTGTATACTTTTACCAAAACGCAGCCGTCATTGAATTTGAATGGCTAACGTATGGAGGATCCATTATTATGAATTCATACTTTACAAAAAAATTATTTTCCTAGTTTGCTAATTGCTTTTTTAATTTTAAAAAGGTGTGTTTTTCGCGTATTTCATATTTCAAATCGAAATTTATATAAAAAATTCAATTTCTTAACATGAAGTTGAAAACTAATTTATTAATTTTAAAAAAAAATTAAATTATAAAAATTCACAAAAAAGCTGCTTCTCTTAGGAAAACTTGTAAAAATATAATTAAATTAATTATTATATAATTAGTTTTTTATTTATTTCTTTTATTTTTATGCGAATAAGGTTATATTGTAATATAAATATTTATAACTATATTATATGATCCCAGTTATTTCGATAAGGTGTTATTTATTAGTTAGGTAATAAGAGTTTAATATAATTTATAAGAAATCAAATTATTTTAGATCTATATTATAATAATGAATGATGTAATGTCTTTTAATGGATAGATGATTCTTATTTTAAGAATGAAATATTTATAGAATTATTTATTTTCCTTCTTTTTATTGCTAAATTAAGTGTCGCATGCACATTGAGAAAAGTAGTATGCGTTTGTTTATTTGTAAATTTTTATGGTTTTTAATACTATAAAAAAACGAGTTTGAATAATGTGAGTTATAACCTGGAATCGTGATGAATTTTTTTTTAGAATATTATATTTTTTTCATTCTCAAAAATACTAAATTTTTACTAATTACAATATTTTATTTGAATTATTTTTTTAATCTCGCTAGATAATGTTGTACACATTAATTAATCAAAAATTCTAACTCAAAAATTACATCGTTATGACTCTTCACGCTGCAATCAGGTAAACTTAATTACCACCGCAAACATGATCGCCAATAAAAGCTGCCTAATGGCCCGCGATACCTTAGGTTATGCGCACAATAACTTAAGGCTCAACGGGGAAGACAGCGAGAGGGAAAATAGTGGTATTTTATTAATTACATACTTCAAATGTATTTAATTTTTGATAAAAGGAAATGATCGGGGCCGTCTAATAAATTTTTTTTGATGATTTTAGTATAATTTTTTGAATATATCAAGAAAAGATAAGAAAGAAAGAAAGGAAGATATAAATTGTTAACAGGAGAACGAGTTCAGTTCTCAGAGTTTAGGGTTTTTATAAAGAGCCTTAATATTAATCTTCTATAGTATATTTGGATAATTGCTAAAATAGGCTAATTCAGCTCGATCTATATGCGCATGCGGAAGAAAATATGCTAATCATTTAGACGCGAATTAATGTTTGCTTTTTTTTTCAAAATTGAATTAGGTTTATCTCTTTATTAGCAGGCTAAAAATAGAGCAATTTATTCTTTATTTTAAGGGGAAAACAATCCATTTTTTAAAAAATAAATAATTTTCTAAAAAAATATATAACTCTTTTTAACAAACTCTCCCATCAAAGCTTCGGATGTAAACTCCTACGGGAGCAGCCCGGAGTCTTATCTTAGCGCGATTCCCGTCAAAGGCTTGAATGGTATCAACCCATTCATTGCTAACCACATAAATTCCGCTATTCATGACGATAATAAAAAGACAGGGTCAAATGGTCCACTTGGATCTTCATTCACGAATATGTCTAATTGCAAGGACATTCTCAAACGGTTAGTGTCCTCCACGCCCTCTCAATTGATGTTCGACCCAATGTATTCACAAATGGTGAGAAATTTAGACATGAAATATAAATTTCTTATAATTTTGATGCCGCCACTCCATTGATTTGTGTAAAAATATTGTACCTTATGGTTTAAAATTAGAATCATAATATTATTCACCATCTTTTTATTTTTAATTTTTCTATTTTATGATAATTTGTTCTCTATAAAATATATGACACAATTTTTATTTTTTAGATCTGCCTATAATGTTCTATTATTCGTCTAACATAATGTGCACAAAAGCGTTTCAAACGCATTTTAAATAGTATCTTGGAAATTTGTCAAATTTTTACTTGGCGCTAGAGATCATTTAAAAAAAACACCAACTGGGTTTAGAAAAGCAAACTGGCTTGCTTTTTAAAATAATCGCTTGCTCTTATGCAAATGTAATTACTGAAATCTGTCAATCCCCTAAGCCTAACATCAGCATATTTACCCGCGTTGATATTTAATTTGCGCATTGCTGAGTCCGTGGGCCATAGTTAGTATTGTTAAAAATCCAGATTCGGTTGTTGAGATTATAACCAAGATAACATTATTTAAACTTAAAGATTTTGTTCATAGCTGACAGAAATGCTTAGACATCTATTTGCCAAATTATTTTAGCGGGCCTTTGAAAAATCGACCTAAATCGGGCTTTTTAACAACACTTGCCATAGTTATTATATTCAAAGGATTAGATTTCTTTGTTACTTTTTCTAATATCCCGTATAATTTTTAACTATTTTTGATCCATCTAAATAAATGATTATCATAATTTATTTTTTTTGTGCACAACCTAAATTAGAACAAATATCTTCAGGCCCTTCCCGTCGAGGAATTGAAAAGGATATCAGCATTGCAACGAAAAGAAATTCAAGCTAGGTACAGTGATCTGGTTAGGAAACGTCACCATACTTCGCACATCGATCAATCAAATCGCCTCACGGAAAATAAAAATAACGGGAAACATTTAATTAACGGAACCGTGATGGACAGTCGTAACGATATTAAATGTAAAAAGTCTAAGATTATCTCCTATAAAAATTATCTTGTAAAATAAATAAATATAATTTTCTCCGTATTATCCACAAATGCATTTTATTAATTATATATTACTTCTTACTTTTAAAAAAAAAATTGACAAAATAATAGATAATAAATTAAAAATTACCAACAAATATGAGTATGATAATTGTGAAAAACAATGAATAATTTTATAATTTCTTTGTAATTAATTTCATCAGTTTATATATTTTTTACAAATCAATAATTAATCGTAATACACAATTAACAAATATATTTGAATAACAATTAATTACCAATGCCTTTATTTTCAAAGTTAATTGATTCTATTATAACTATTCTTTTCTTTTTGGGCTCTCGATTTGAAACTCTTATCCTTTTTGGATAATGGCTACTTGTACTTTCATACCCTACTGCGGGTTGATCCGTACTATCGATTTCAATCTTTTCCTTTATGATGGTGTCTTTGGTTATAGAGTCTTGTTTAGAATCAATGTCTTTGGCTATCGAGTTTTGCATAGGATCAATTTCATCCATTCGTGGTATAGTTTGCCTTGTTTCTCCTCTTCTCCATAAACCTAATTTATTCTCAGCAAAAAAATGTCATCCTGTCAACAATGATACCTGATATTCAAATATTTTTTTAAAAATAATTTTCATATATTATCTCATTTAAATTAAAAAAAACTTGATAACTGTGGTATGTATGGATGAGGATAAATTAGTTTTATTAATTGTAAGAGTCATATGGGTTAAAATCTAAGCATAATTGAAATTGGTGATTGTTTTGTGATTATTTGTGGAGTATTTCCTTAATTAAAACAAAAATATTGTATTTTATTATAATCATGTTTTTTTTAAAAACTCATAAAAGTTTGTTCTAACCGCTTCGCTTCTCCGTTGTGGGTGATAAGGGTCACTATATACATTTCTAATGGCTATTGTTTGCAAAATATACAATTCCCTACTTTGAAATGGGTGCCCATTATCCGTAACAATAGTGTTGGGGTAACCGAAAATAGCAAAAAGTCTAAACAATATTTTTCTTACTTCAGTAAAATTATTTATCGAATATTTTTGTGGCCATTTACTAAAACTATCTATTATTACTAGATATATATCTCCGTTAATTGATCCGGCAAGATTTAAATGAATTCTTTCCCATAGTTTATTGCGGAGGGTCATTTCTCTATGATCGTTTTACCGCTAGGGTTATTTATTGACATAATTCACAATTCTTACCGTGTAATTCGATGTATTCGAAACGTTCTCTTGGGCCAATAATTTTTTTATAACCCTGGTGCCCCATATTTAAAAAAGACAAAATATTTTACTTCTAATTTTTTGGTAATTATCGTTCTTAATCCCCATAATATACACCCTGCCTCCATCGTGAGTTTATTTCGGAGCTGTAAAAACGGTCACCTAGTTGTAATGTAACTTAAAATATTGATAGTACTGGTATGCGATTTTATATCTAACGCTGAAATAAATTGTGGAGCATCCGATACAATTAAATTAATCTCTTCCCAAGCAGATGGTTTACTGTTAATTAGGAATTGGGAAACATGTCCGCATTGTTATTTTTTTTACGTTCCTCGAAGTTGCAATTCATAATCATAATTTGCTAGTATTAATGACCATCTTACTAATCTTGACGACATATATGTTATTCTTTTATGTGTGTTAAGTAACGATATAAGTGGTTTATGATCAGTAATTTTATTAAAATCATTACTTTAAATATTGTTTAAATTTAATTAATCCAAATATGATTGCTAAAGCCTCACACTCTATCTGACTTCGTTCTGCAGTATTTAATGTTCGAGAAGCGAATCCAACCAGCTCTTCCTCGTTGTTAATATGAGATAGGATTGACCTAATTCCATGTTGCGACGAGTCAGCAGCTAGAATTATCGGCTTTTTCGGATTATAATGCATTAAAATTGGTGCTTCTGATATTAATTTTATAAATTTATTAATTACTTTTGTTTCAATCTGTCCATTTCCATGGCACATTTTTCCTTAAATATATAATAGAGCAGCAATAGTCAAAAAATTGTTTATAAATTTTTGATAATAATTGATAATACCGATAAAAGCTTGTAATTCTTTAATGTTTTTAGGTAACGGCGCGTTTAAAATTGCGTCGACATTCTTATTTGTTATTGTGACTCCCCCTTCGCTAATTAAAAAAATTATATTTTTTTAGATTTAATTTTATACCGTTTATTTCTAACGTCTTTAATACATTTATCAGATTTTTTTTATGAATATCAAATGATTCCCTAGTAATTATACCTTCTAAATATACCGCTGCCCCGGGTGGTTTAATAACAAATCCATTGCTTGTTGAAAAATGCCGGGCGCTGACGCTACCCCAAACGGAAGTCGTGTGAAACGATACAATCCACTTAGCGTTTTTATCATTAACAACTTTTTCGCCTCCTCATCTATTGCAGGAAATACGCTTCTAATAAATTTAATGCCGTATTTGGATCCATTACATAGTATGGCTAATAATTCATTGATTCTAAGTATATGATATTGATCAATCAAAATATTTGCATTAACCGTCTGTCGGAACTCATCGCAAATTCGTAAGGATCCATTTTTTTCAGTACAGACACGATCGGAGAAGCGATATTGTAATATTTCAGATTATCTAAAACTCCCATTGATTTCATTCTTTGTAATTCCGCTTCTAATTTTGTCTTGCACGCAAATGGTATCGGTCTGCTTTTAAAACATTGAAAGTTGGGGTTGGGTTTTACCGCTAAACTTGCTTTAAAATCTTTCAGTAAACTGAATTTCTTAGCAAATGATGAAAATTTTTGTTGAATATTATCCCCCCCAAACCTCATTAATATTATTAAATTTAATTTGTTTTTTAAATTTCTACCAATACCATTATTTACAATTATAAATTCAGGATATATAATTTTATTTTAATTATTAATGGGTAATATATATTTACCTCTAATATCGATCATATAAAATCTTAAAATAATTTCCGTTCTTGTTGCTCTGCTATATTCAAAATAGAGACTGCCGATCCTGTGTCAATTAAAAAATTAATATGTATTATATCTATCAATAATTTCACCTCAAATTTTTTTCGCGACTCCTCTGGAGAATCCCAATCCTCAAAACTTTCTCGCCCCTATTTGGAACATCTATCGTTCGAATATATTCTTTCTTGCCACTATTCCTTCTGCATGTTTTCTGTAAATGTCTTTTACACCACAACTATAACAAATTTCATTAAATTTGTGCGCTTTGGTTTTATGTAGTTTTCTAATCCACATCAATAACAAATAATTTTTGATACTGGTTTATAATTGTCATACTTCCCCTTTGTCACTTATTTTTTGGAATTTTATTTCTCATTTCCTGCAGATAATTTTGTATACATTATCATTTCCATCGTCTCCATTGTAGCTTTTCCCATATCAAGTCTGGAGTGTTGATTAACTTCATTAATATTTTTCATTAATTCCCAAAACTAATTTATCACGTATCACTATTTTGTACATAACTTTAAAATCACACGTGTTTGCTTAATTTATTTATATATTCTATAATAGTTTCTCCTTTTCCTTCTTCCGTTTTAAAAAATAATATCTCTCCACCATAAAATTAGTTTTCTTCGAATAATAATTTTTTAAAAGTTTAATTATATCATCGTATGATGTTTCAGCTAAAATCTTCACACAAAGTAAATAATTTTGAATAAACTTCTAATTCAATATTTGTTAATAAAAACGATTTTTTGTCCTCTATTTCGGCTATTGTAAAAATGAATTTCATCTTTGATTAATACACTTCAATCTCGCACTCCTTTATATTGAATTTTTCCATTTGAAATTGCGCCATTGCACTATCGTGAAAAATAATAATTAATTTCTTCAGTTTATATATCTTTTACCTATAAATACATCATCATAATACACAATTAACAAATATATTTGAATAACGTTTAATCCTATTATCAATTGCCTTTATTTTCAAGGATTTGATTAATATCCATTTATATATATTATATATAATTTTTTTATAACCAAAAAGGCAAAAATATATCGCCTATCCAATCGAAAAGCCCCGAAATCTTAGATTTGCTACAAAAACTAGAAGAACTTAACACCCAATTGAGAATTGTTAAAAACAAAAAGAATAAACAGGGCGACGCAGAAATTAGAGAGCTAAACGAATGCCTTTCCAACAGCGCCATTAACGGAGATGACAAAGGAAATACCGGCTCGTTGGGTATTGCCAATAAAATCAACGGAATAGGAAATCAACTCCTTCAAAACAAAAAAGATAAAAGCTTTGACATCACACTCAACACGCTTAAAGATATTTATAAGGTTCAAATTATTTTTTGAGAAGATTTTCATTAATCTTATAAAAAAAAGAGAATGTACTAGATTCAGGGAATCGATTACTTGCATTATTTTGTTTGAATTTTAATTTATAATAATATTTTTTAAACAAAACCTACCCTTTTTTTATCACGCACTTATACTCATACTAGAACAAGGAGGATATCTATCTTAAACAAAACGAGAAGATAAATCAGCATCAAAAGTTTTTGCGGGATCTCCAATCCGAGCTTTCTTGTTTGGTTAAGAAACTGGAATCCACTTCCAAAATAGTTTATCTGCAACAAGAAGATAATCGCTCACGCAAAACCCTTGAAGCCCGCAATTCATTGGTATTAAATGATCGCAAAAATCATCGCATATCGTCAGTTTCGAGTGCGCAAAGCCTTTTAAATTATAGCCTCAATAAATTAAAATCTTCTCAAGCCACTTCAAATCAGTCTCTTGGAACAGGTTTAACTACCGTCGTTAATAAGCAGCAATATCAAACCACTCCCAACTTTAAATATATATATGGGTCGCCTACCGACATAAATACACCTGCGAAAGATCACCGTAACAAATTAGGACCCAATTTCGGCATCGTTACGTCGACCTCTTCTTTAAACGTTAGTAGATATACCGGATTTATAAACAAATCCGCAAATCATACCACTTACTCTTCCGTCACGTCCCCTCAAACCCTTTATTCGTCTCCCACCAAAATTTTAATTCTCGATAACCAGGATTTCAATTACCACATTTTTGAGAACAGCACCCTCCTATCATCTGATTCTGAACTTCTCAAAGTGTCCCAGGCCTTGAATGAATTAAAGTTATCTAGCAACCAAACCAAAACTTATGGTGATAATTACAATGGCAGTCCGGTTCAACTCTTTAATAAGAATGGCGAAAATATCAACGCTTGGAAATCCAACAACGCGACTATCGATATGTCAGAGAGCCCCTTGTACATCGCTAATAATTTGTCGCCCCCGATAAATAGTTTAATGGCTTCTAGTCAGTATCAAACACTCACAAATAGTGGAAATCGATCTTTAAATAGTCCTATTCTAAATACGGGCTATATTTGTCCAGATAAATATAATTATAATATTAATAATAATAGTTATAATGCTAACGTAAATCGTTATTCGAGCAATGTTAGACCTTTGGTTTCCGATACTGTATCTTCTTTATTTACCCATTCGATTAAAACAGAATTAAATACGTAACTTTTAAGATCATATCTTGATTTTTTTTAAATATTAGAATATTTACAATTTTAGATCTCTTTAAAATGTTAAAAGTTATAGAATTATAAGACTTTTCTACGGTTGACAGACAACCCTCCAAAAAAAAAATAAGCATAATAAATTTTAATCAATAAGAAAGTGCTTTTTAATTAAAAATTCTAAAAAGTTTTTCTTGAATTTGTCAATCAATATGAATTAGATTTATAGAGGACTCTATAAGACTAAAAAAATTATACATATTAAGTAAAGGATTTTATTTATTTTATTATGGATAGCTATTTATTGCTCTGGGATAAATATTAAATTATTTATATGTTTTTCGGATTAAATATTATTAGATCTCATAATCCATCGCTCTCATCACCATATACCAGCAGAATACTTAACACGCCTAATCCTTCACTATGCCATATTACCCCTGTCCCTTTCGTTTCCAATTTCGCTATGCACCCTGACTCCCATCACTTTGCTAATCTTTCATTTAGCAAAGTGGAAAAATTTCACTTTAACCCTCATTCACTTAAAAGTATTAGGCGCCGCCACAGTTACGCCGAGCCCGATACCAGAGATGACGAGTACTCCAGATTTATGGACGCTTTTGTGCATAATGACAACTTTGATTCTAAAAATGATCAGTATTACCATGAAAATTCGGATAGATTTGAAAACGGGCAGAAGTTAGAAAAAGTAACGGCCTTACTTAAAAACAATTTATTCGAATATAATCATCGTTTTCCGACTATTATAAACGGTCACGTTGACAATAAAAATAAATCTTCACCTCTCATCTACAACGCCACATCGTGTCTATATGATTCCCATAATCGTGCGCTCACCCCTACCAAATACTATACTCCTGTTTCTTTTAACTTGGATACAACACGCAATAACATTTCATTTTCCTCCCCTTTCTCTTCTGATTCTACCCAGAATATCGCAGGCGACAATAGAAGGAACAACATTATGTCAATACTGAATCAGGACGATTGTAGTCAATTTCCTACGAACCATTTTACTGAGCCTTTGTCTGATTACAGTAATTCCGCATCCCAAATTTCGAATGACGACCCAAATTTAGATAAGAGATCTCAAGACGGTAGTAAAAGTGTAAATCACAATACTAGTAACAATGATTCGAGACTGACTAACGCTGTATTGACCTCTTATGATCACGATAATTTAGGGATGATTCCAAATTCTCTTAGTGATTGCGACAAACGACTGGTCACATTATCGGAAGGTGGGGAAATATTTTACGATTTTTATAATGATGATCGAGCGAATCATGAGGATAAAACTTATATTAATTTTACGAGTGAGTTTTTTTATATAAAAATTCCTATTTTAAACATTTATAAATCAATTTTTCTGTTTAAGATTTAAATTTTTATAATAAAGTTATAAACGCAAATAGAATTTGCAGTGTTCCGGTCGGACCGACGGTCCAGTCATATCTGACTAATGATCCGACGAGGCGGTCCTATCTGACCACACGGTCTGGTAACCTGGTCCCGACCGAAGACCGATTAAAAAATATAAAGTTTACTGTACATGTTTGTAACATGTATTTTAATTTATATAAACATACTTTTTCATTCTAGAAGGTTTAAGGCGACTATATATTATATTGTAATAATATATTATATGTTGTAAATTGGATAACGTGATTTAAAACAATTGATTTACGTTGTATATATAAAGAGATCATTATTATAAATGTTTATCAGCTATCTTTTGTAAATAAAAAATCTATTTAAATTAAATTCTTCGTATTGAGATAAATCCCGACGAATTCCTATTAATTCTAACGTACAAATCAAGCTAACATCTCCGCTTGGCAACATTTACAATGAATTACTTTTAAATTAATGTACATGAACACGTAAAACATGATTATTTAATGCCTAGCACTATATACAATGAATTACTTTTTAATTAATGTACATGAACACGTAAAACATGATTATTTAATGCCTAGCACTATATACAAAAATATTTATTTATTTTAATCAAAATATTTATATAAGAAAATATCATTGAGGGAGAAAAGAGCCAGTGATAGACTAACGGTTATTAGGGCAGAGGAATCTGAGAAAGATGATAAAAATGATCGAAAGCTTTTTACTAATATTTTATATCCAATTAATTCCAACATATTAGATTGGCTGTAAGGGAATCAATATTGATTTCCAATTGTGACCAAAATAGCATTGGACCATTTTCCAATCAGTAGCATGTGAACGGATCATTTCTGAAGCTAATGATAAAACATCAAAAAAATGGAATAGAATCCGACCTAACGGTCCAGCGAGTTTCATTTTAGAAAAGCAGATCAGACGGGACTGAATCTCTATAAACATTAAACGCAAATAACGAAAACTTATTTTTAAACATCAAAATGCGAAAAACACATAGGAAATTCTGGTCTATCATGCAATGCACATAGCCCGGAAATTAGTTCGGGGAAAGGGAGGGGGAAATTTTATCCAATTTATCTTAAAATGATTTTTGAACAATTAAAATCAAATTATTTACCAGAACTATAATTTAGAATAAATTGACAATTTCTATATAAAAATATTATGAAAAAACAGATGAAAATATAAATGAATGCACAAAAATATGTTTACAAATTATTTTTACCGACAGGTGGAATCACGATAAAAGAATCGCTTAAGCTTCCTTTTGGTATAAATTATTTGCAAATAATGCTCTCAGATACTTTATCTTTAAAATAAAATTGAGCTAAATATTAAGTCGAGGTCATGGTTATAGAAGAATGTCCCTTATTCTCAACCCTTCCCTCTCAAAAATATAACTTAACAATCCAAAACAATCCTTTTCTAATAATTAAATATCAACAATAAACATTACCAACTAGGACAATTTTACAAGTCCAATTATTTCGTACAAATATCTAAAAACGATAATTATTAAATTGCTAAATCCTTCACGATCCATCCTGGCTTCATCCAATATAATGTCTTCTTCACTCCAAACCGCACACAAAGAAATTATTGTTCTTTACCAAAACCCATGTGATGCTTTATTTCACTCCCATCCACAAGGAAACACTAATTCCCCTGTCAGAAAATAACTGAAATTTGATATATAAAATTTATTTCTTCTTTTTTTCAACATCTACAACAATGGTCACCTTATATCCATTTAAAACTTTAAAACAGTGTTTGAGGTCTTTGAAGATTTCTAACAGAAGAAAAATTTTTGATCCGATTTTATCTAGCAATTCAAAATATGTAAAAAAATCTTTTATAATTAAATATCTTGTATGATATACTTAATCTTGTGATTACCTAAATAACCGAAAAAATAGTCTACACTACACCTAATTTAATAAAAATACTGATAAATTTTTTTAAAAAAAATTAAGAATCGAAAATATAATCACCCCTAATTTAACTCTTTGGAAAAAAAATATAGACGATGATGACTTTCATTTATCAACTAACCACCGTGCATTTATTTCTCAACCATCTAATACAGATTATCGGAAAGATTCTCCCGATAACATCACCACCATTTTGGAAGAATCGAATATCGGTCTCGAAGACGAAATTTCAAAAAACGGGCTGGTAACTTTAAATGACGATGATGATAGTTACGATAATGATGATATTTCTGCAGAAATAAGGATTGACAAATCAGACGACCAATTTAAGCTAAAATCTTGTGTCAAGAAAAATTTTGCGATCGCTGACGATGCCACACGTAAGCAGAGAAAAGTATCGTTCGATCCATTAGCGTTGTTGTTGGACGCTGCCCTTGAGGGCGAATACGATTTGGTAGTTGAATCCGCTCAAAAGGTTTTTCTAATATGATAAAAATTATTATCTCATTTCACAAAATTAAGATTTTATATTTGCCAATAATTGTTATCCATTTCTTTTCTTTAAAAAAATATAAGATAATTTTTTTGCAGTATTGTTAATGGGCTCGATTTACGATTTTTACGGTGAATCAAGATTTTAGTCAAAATAATATTGCATAAGTTTCAAGATTTTCCCAATAGATGTTCAAACATTTCTGCAATTTGGCCAAAATATACAGGCTTAGATAATATTTTTTTATATATAAAATCGCCAGTTAGCCTTTTTTATACATTAACTAAATCGAGCTTAACCCTTTCATTTGTGTAGTTTTTTATGGCAATGTGCCTAATCATTACTTATATTGACTGATTATCTTAGTCAATCCGTTTATTGTCAAGAATATAAATTGAAAATACATAAAATTCCATAAACAAATTGTTTGAAATTTGTAATCGATAGTATTTTACACATTCTGGAATACATTTTTGCCAAAATCAGCAGATATTTCAATAGCCCTCAAACAAATGATGCTTATTTACCAACTTTTAAATCATTTATTTTGGGTTTTAAATGTAAATAATCTGATCGGAAATGTATTGTACCTTATAAATTTTAGTCAATTTTATAAGAAATTACATATACCGACTAAAGCAATACGCGAATTGATTATCATATACATAAAATTAACTGAAAAAGGGCTATAGTAATAATAAAATATAATATTAAAGCAGGTTACCACCGCCCTCCCTATAATCATCTTAGGTGAATCATATCTAGGCTCAGTGTTGGATTAAATAACAATTCTTTATTTTAACCTTCAATTCACGATTATTTAAAATTAAACATTCTATTAAAACAGGCCACAAATCCTAGCGCCTCCAATGACGAAGGCATTACAGCCCTCCACAACGCTATTTGCGCCGGGCATTTGGATATAGTTATGTTCCTGGTTGAATTCGGTTGCGATATAAATGCCCAAGATAGCGATGGATGGTTTGAAATTTCATATTTTTTTGCAATAATTTGTTTATTTTATTATAATTATTTGAATCAGATTATCAATTTTTTTATAAAATAAAAAACCTCAGGTTTAACATGGCGAGAATCCATAAATTATAAAAATATACTGGATATTAGATCCCGGAACTGAATTCTGGGTATAATAGATATATGGGTTTAAAAAAAAATTTACACACGTAATTTTATAAAATATAGGACACCTCTTCATTGTGCCGCGTCTTGTAACAATTTCTCCATGATCAGGTTTTTGGTGGAACGGGGTGCCTCTGTTTTGGCTACCACACTCAGCGACAGAGAAACTCCTTTGCACAAATGCGAGCAAAACGAATTTGATTTCCGGCACTGTGCCGCTTATTTATATCGTAAAACATACTAAATTATATATATGGCATTTTACCTTCCTTGCAAAATATTAAAGTTTAATATGTTACTAGGTAAGATGCCACAAATAAAATGAATTTATAAAGGACGCTTAATTGGATAGTTTTTAGGGAGTCGTAATACATGTTTTAGCCACTTTACATTAACATATTTAAATAAACTTAAAGGATAATAATAATAAACTTAAGTTGTATAAAAGACGAAAAACTATTGTAAGAGAAGGTCATATTCCGGTCACAAAGACCTCATTTAACCAAGGTTCTAAAAAGGATGTGCATCTATCGATACGGGTTTGTACTAAGACCGTTCTAGAATCCAATCTTTATTTCTCATTACTGTTATTTAAATTAACTATTTAAATCTCTCCTATAAATCAATTTGTCAAATTAACTTCTTTCATTTTAAATGAAATATGAAAAATTAGATATCCAAAAAAACACGGGCTTATCTAATAGCGGACGCGTTTATGCCCTATACGATTATGAAAGTCAAGAAGCCGACGAGCTGAGCTTCGAGAACGGAGAAGAACTCATAATTATCAACCAAACAACACATTTGCTAGTGAACGGTTACGATCATGGTACCATCATTTCTTATTTCTATTTTTTAAATATTATAAATAAAATTTTGTATTTTTATCTTTTTTAAAATTAAAAATTTTGTAGATGATATTTAAATCCGATTGGAATTATTAATTATATTAATAGAATATTCTATTCTTTATTTCGATAAAATATAAATGTAGTAATTGTCTGCCTCTTCATAATTCTCAAATTTATTCTCAGATTCAGGCACTTTGTCATGATTTATTATTTTTATCTTTACCCCTTATTTTGGAATTATTTATTTTGTTTAGCGCTTTATCTTTTACGTTGATAATTTTCATTAATTTTAGAAGTTCATCGCCCTATTCGCGTAAATATTTATATACTCTACTATGTAAATTGATATATTGCAAACTATCCCCCTTTTTTAAAATACAAAAAAATATATATTTATTATTTTAATTTCTGTTATATTTAATATTAATAACCATATAACGAAATATTTTATATACAAACCACATTGCAGACCCCGTCAAACTGGATCCCAAGAATATGGAAAATGAAAAGGATATCCAGATGTTGAACGGAGGAAAGGATTATGATAGCAACGAAGAAAATGCTCCGGGTAGTTTAGACGAAGGAGACCTTGAAAGCGATTGGTGGCTCGCCAAAAATTTTAAAAACCAAAAGGGGCTTGTGCCCAAAAATTATGTGGGGGTAAGTGGAACATTTTCCATTTAGAGTGTATTTAATTAATTAGTATTATTATTTTTATTGATTAATTGTTGAGTATTTATTATATTTTTTTTAAAATTAAATAAAATTGATAAGAATGCTTATGTAAATAAAATATCAACATGAATAGCATTTTTTTGCAATTATTATGTGCTATGAAAAATTTAATTGAACATATTTTTTAAAAAAAATATTAGCTATATAAAAGAGTGCAAGTTAATCACAACTAGAAACATCTTTGAAAACTTGTATGATTTCGGTGGCATTACGTAGACGGTCAAATAATACTCGTTTTTAAACTAAAATTGGACCACGTATCATCAACAGGGCTTTCTTGATACTTACGAATAAAACAATTATGATAAACATTTATTATTTCAATAAATTGTAATATTAATATATTTTTTATTATAGTTTATTTTTATTATATATATATTTTTTTAAATATTTTCTAAAATAAATTTTTACCCATTCCCTTAATCCTTCTACCCCCGACTATACAATTACTAAACCAAAAATGTATATATTTTTTATATGAAATTTTATTTAAAAAAATTTATATTTCAGCCCCTTTTTTCTTATTCAATCAATACAAAGTTAATAAAATTATTTAATTTTTATACCCAGAGTAGAGATCAGCGCGCGCGAACCGGTTCCTTTAGATTTTTATAAGAGAGAAAGAAAATCATAAATTTGAAATTATTTTAATATAAATTTGTTTTTAAACAGTTATTTAGAGACAGTCTCGGCTCACATAAAGATTTTTCGCGGCGGGCCGAGCAGATCTCTAACCCAGAGGTTGGTATCAATAATATTTTTTCACCCTGAGTTTTTTTTATTTATAATAATTTTTTTTATATAGCTATTTTGTAAATTTTTCCAACTTTTAATGAACGAGAAAGATTATGGAAAATTATAATTTTATAGTAGTTAATTTTTCTTTAATAAGCTTCTTTTTTTTTTTAACAATTTGTAATAAATTTTTATAACATAATTTTTTGATATTGGTGCTGCTCGCGAAAACATGATAAATTTCTGAACGGCTCCATGTACAGGTGATTTTGACGTAAAACTTGTTTTGATACCTATTTCCTTATGAGTATTATCTTAAATTATTTTAAAATCATGATTATCAAATATTTTTTATATTATATCTGTTTATATTATATATAAAAAAATGAATAAAAAAGCATGAAGTTTTATAACAATATACTACAACAAATCACAGTCATGTATATATATTTCCTTGCCCAAGGCCTCAGCTGATTCACTAGAAATAGGAATCGAACTAATAGAAATAAAGGAATTTAATATTACCTTTTATTTTATCAGCTGTTGAGTTGCTCTTAGTAGCGACTCTAATTTTATTTTTTTAAAGTAGCTATTTAATAGCACCGTTTCTTTTTTTCGAATAGCTATAGTTAAAATTAGCTATATTTAAAAAAAATTAATTAGTAATGAATATAACTAATCTTAATTGTTTTATTTATTATTTGAATGAATAATTAAATTTATTTTAATCATATAATTTTGAATAAAAAATTAAATTTTCATTCACCCTTTTTTTAAAGAAAATTTGAACGTGATTGAAAGAGGACTAAAATAATTAAAGATAGCTGCGTATATTATCTAAACCTCAGCATTAAAAGATAATTGTCTAACAAAATGAAAATCTCATATAGATTTTTTTTGATGGATATTTCCGATGAGGATGATAAAAATAATAATATATAACAACTTTTTTGAGATCAGCCATATCAGATTTCACAATATATAAAGTATCCCTTTTTTTAAAATCATTTTTCATAAAATACAATATCATCTATTCCAGTTAATTGTAAGATTATTTAATCAGCAAAGAATATTTTTTGGTTAAAAAAAATATTTCTTTGTTGGATGAATTTTGAGAGACATCTCTTTTTAGCAATTAATATTAATTAAAATTTTGTATAATTAATATTTTATAAGAAATCTTTTATTTTGTGTTATATTTGATATACTTAGGCAAGAGAAACTGCAGGATCAGACAAAAGCACACAACTATTGTAAAAAAAAATTCCATTATTTTTTTATAACAGATACATAGATTCGACCTATATAACAAAAAAAATAAATATATAATTATTAATATTATTTTTTTTTAAATTTGTTTATGATTTATGAAATTTGTAAAAGTGGTAAGAAATAGGAAAAATAATAATGAAATGTATTCAGGGAAGTACTTATGCACCCCGGAATCATGGAATGTTGACAGATCTATTTTATCACAACTCAAGACATCTAAAAAATCTGTTCATGTAATTTGATTTATGTGAGGAAAGCAAATTTTATTGTGAATTTATACAAAAGAAATATGTTAGAGAATCAAGTGGATTTCTGAATTAAAGTCTTATATCAAATCACTAGAAGGATTGAATCAAACTTATATAATTTTTCTGAACCGGTTTAAAACCGTTTAAATGTAATGGATTAAATAGAATCTCTTGAAATTAACAAATACCCATTTCTTGGGTTTACGCATAGATCGTTTTGCTCGATAGGAAATTTAAAATAACAAATACAGCCACCTATACTAGTTCTAATCTCAGACACCTGTGGTCCAACTGGACATCAAACACTAAAATTATTCAAAACAATAGGATAAAAGCTCCATTTAATCACAGGTGATGCAAATAATATCCATCGAACTTTGGTGTTCCAAAATTAAATACATGGATCATTAACCTCCTGATGGCTTAGTTTAAATAGTTATAATTTAAAATTTTTATTATTATTTTAAAAATAAATTATCGAATCCAAAACAAAAGATCTATATTGTACTTATTAAAAACAAATCACGAATATAAAAAATATTAAATATAAGACGCATATAGTGAAAATCTTAAATTTTTTTTTAGTTTATTTGCATTTCTACATGGATACAATATCAAATGTAATAGTAACATAGGCGTAGCCAGGATTTTCCTAAGGGGGAGGGGGGGGGGGTATTAAAAAGTAACAATTAGTTATAGATTAAAATTTTCATTACTATTTTTATATAAAATCAAAAAATTTACAACTATAAAAAGTATCTTTTGATTTTAATACAAGAAATTGTGGAGGGAAATAGCCCGGATGATAATGGTAATCTATAGGTGCATAATAAGGGGAGAGGAATCCCCCCAATAAATATTTAAGTTAAAAAAAATCTCTCATCCCTTCCCCCCAAAAAATAAATTTAATTAAAAATTTGCTTTCCAAAATAAAAATAAATTAAAATAGAGAAATTGTAAATGTCGCAGTTGCAAAATTAAATAATAAATATTTGTTATGATGTAATGTCAATTAATTATTATATTTAAAATAATATTATTTGTGAAATAAAAATATTATCATTGGTTTTTTTATTCAAAAGATGGATTTCTTTTTATGAAATCTTTTTAATTAATTTTACAGTTTAAAATAAATTAAATTAAAGGGTTTTTACTATGTACAATAAGAATTTTTCTATATTAATCCGAATTCATTTATTCATTACCACGCCAGAAATTGCACGAAGTGCAATTTCATCACCCACCAGGAGTTGTAGCACCATGTATATTCACTAGCATATAGATTACCCGTTTTATTATAGTGGACGGTAACACTATGTAGTCAGCTAGCATTGTAAAGTATAGAAGAGTAAGAAAGAGTGGATCTATTAGTTCAGTTACCGGCAAGATAGTGTTAAGAAATTGTAACCAATATTAATAATAATGTGCCTGACGCCGATATTTAAGAGAAGAAAAAAATAAGTATGTAAGGTAAGCCGTGGAAGATAAATGTCTATCTATATAGCGTGTCCTATTCCGGAGGCAAACTTCCCTGTAATTGTAATCTCAATCCCTGAAACCCATTAACCTAAAGAACTTAATAGCGTTTTGTTTGATTTTTTCCTGTTTTCTTCTTCTTTTTACCTTCATTAATTTTTGCCATTGCTTTTGGTGTCCTGCCACTTCTCTAATCCATATTAAGATGGGTAGAATTAGGGATTTGAAGAGTCTTGTCTTTTGGTTTGTGGATATCTGGTTGGACGACCATAATTCCATTAGCTGATGGTATCGGGATCTGGCTTTGTTTGTCCTCGACTTCGTATCCAATATTGTGGTGCCTAATGATATTATCCTGATTCCTAGGTACTTAAAATCTGAGACCGTTTCTACCACATTATCATCAAAGTTAAAGGGGTCTGTGTTAGATGCAAATGTATTGGACGCGATTAACTTTGTCTTCGAGTAATTACCTTTTAACCGTATTCATAGCAATTATTAACAAACAATGACAGCAAATTTCTTAGTTTGTACTCAGAGTTCGCTAATATGCATACATCATCGGCATAGCATAGAAAATTCAGAGAGTTGTGTATGTTATTATCACGTTGTTGATCCAGATAGCGAGGGTTCAGGGCATATTTTTGTTTAAAGATTTATTCAGAATATCGTTCATTATTACATTAAATAACATAGGTGATAGAATGCAACCTTGTTTCAGCCCTCTATTGGCTTAAATGGTTGTGATTTTATGTTCAGATGTTGTGGCACCACGTTATGATTGTCATACATTATTTTGGCCATCTTATGCTATATAATGGAGTCAAAGGTTTGACTTAAATCAATCATTAGGGCAAATATTGGGGGCTTATGCATTCTAGCTTTCTCCAGAATAACCTTTAGCGCCATGGTTAGTTCCGTTGTGTTTCTACCCTTCCTATACGATGTGATGGCGTTTGAAAGGTTCCTATCGATGATTGGTTTGATCCTGACTGCTGTAATATACTTGAACATTTTTAGGGTAACTGGGATCAGTGCAATCCCTTTGTAGTTCTTCAGGTTAGTAGGGTTCTTATTTTGGGGGAATTCAGAGTTATCGAGGTCACCCATTCTTCTGGGAAGTTTCCCGTATTCTATATCTCATTAAAAAGGGGAAGTAGTAGACTAGAACTTAGATCAGCATCTTCCTTCCAGAGTTTTGCAAAGATCCCATCGATTCCGGCAGCTTTATGCGTTTTTAGTCTTTTAATGGCATTGATTATATCTATTTTGTTCAGGTTTCGATTGGGAGATTGGAAAGGATAATCACATGTTGGTTTGTGATACCTCGTCCTTTAAAGATTCGTGTAATGATCTGTCCATATAGCTGATTGTTCCTTGGGGTCTGTTAAAATTTTATTGTTTTCAATGTGTAATCTTGGTAAAGGAATGGATTTAAAGGTAGTGAGTAATTTGAGAGATTGAGCCTTGTATATATTATTGTTGTCCAAATTATATTGTATGGATCTAGATAATTTGATAATAAAGATCTTTTGTCTATTCTTATGCAGTGGGTTATGATTTCTGTGGTGTTTAGTATTGGTTGTAGGAGATATTTGTTGTTAAATTTTTAATTATCTGTATTGTTGAAGGGGAGAGCCACTCTTTACGTTTAATTTGTGGTCTTAAGCATGAAGTCATACAGCTTGAAAAATTTAGCTTCATATCTTTCCAGGTTATATTAGGGTTGATCATGCAATTTAGGGTATTTCTCCATGTTGTTAGCTTTGTGATGAATTCTTTTATATCCAGATCGTTTAGCTGTGCCAAGTCTTTCCTAGCTATGAAACTTACAATGATAAGGTGGTTCTGTCGATTATGGTTAAGAATGCTATTGCTTATCCTTAGCTCGCATCCTAGTGGATAATGGTCCGTAAATAACATGAAGTTAAATTTGCTGACGACTTTGATGTCTTTCACCCACTTGAAGATATTGGTGGAAATTACAAAGAAATTATGTGAGATAGTGCCAAAGGAAGGACTTCTGTAGGTCATGGTGTGATGGCTTGGATGATTGAAGAAGGATTTCCTATTTTCAAATTGAAGTGTTCACAGATTTCTATTAATTTCATGCCATTAATGTTCGTACTTTGTACTAGTGTTGCGTTCCCGAGGCAGGTAGAATGGTTAGGTCAACCAAGGCAGAGAAATTTCCTGCTAATATAATACTATCTCGATGAGGCAGTTCTTTTAAGATATTTCCCAGCTCTCCAAATTATATTTGTTTTTATTGTATTTGGAATGAATTTAACAAATTTGTAAAGGATTTTATGATATACTACAATTTATAATTGCATACTTCTATCGCATTTACAATTATTTTTGACTTTTAAAATATATATTTATTTTTCAA